AAAATCCTCCAAAGTCAACCCCAGATTTCACTGTAACCCTAAGTGCCATTCTAAAAGATACAGGATGTAGTTTACCAGATCTCTGCCCTGTTTCTAAGGGAGGGGAATATCCCCAAAATATCTAGGCAATTCACATATATCAAATGTCACCAGTTTCAACGATAAGAGCCCATTTCTAACATCTGTTATATAAAGGAATATCTCATATAATAGGAATAGCTTCTGAAGGGCTTACAGTAGCTGCTTTGGGAGGGTCACCTTTCTGATTAAATGCCAGCTGAGCACTCCTAGAATGTAAATTCTTGTTCATATATTTAGGTAAAAGAACAAGAATGTAAGCTCCATGAAGGCAAGGAATTTTTGTTTGCTTTGGTCACTGCTGTACCTGGCCCATACTAAGTTCTCAAATATTTGTTGAATGAGTAAATATTTGCTGACTGCTGAAGTATTTAAGTTACAGACATTATAAAAATAAACATGTTTTGGCCACCAGCATCTTTTTTTTTTTGAGGAAGATTAGCCCTGAGCTAACTACTGCCAATCCTCTTCTTTTTGCTGAGGAAGACTGGCCCTGGGCTAACATCCGTGCCCATCTTCCTCTACTTTATACATGGGATGCCTAAAACAGCATGGTGTGCCAAGTGGTGCCATGTCCACACCCGGGATCTGAACCAGCAAACCCTGGGCCACTAAATCAGAACATGCACACTTAACCGCTGCGCCACCGGCTGGGCCTGTGGCCACCAGCATTCTTAATACAACTACAATAGTAAAAAATAGATTGGAAACAGTCTTATTTTAGGTAGTTCAAGAGCTTAAAAGGAAGAGAGGGAAGCATCCAGGTAAGAGGATATGCACACTAGCTTTCCAGTACTGGATATTAGATACTTTCACTGATTCTATCAATCTTTGTGCCTTTATAAAGGCTTCAGTGAGCATCATTTTACATACATTTTTTTATATTGGCCAATAATTTCCTCAGGATAAATTGCTAATAATCAAATTCGTAGGGTCAAAGAATGGAAACATTTAAATTTTTGATAAATATTCCCAAATAGCCCTCAAAAACTTGATTCAAATTTACATTCCCATCAACAGTGTTTTTCACTGGTTTTGTCAACATTAATTTATTTGGATTTTAATCATATACATGTTTTTATTTGGTGTTTTTCTTATTACTGATGAGCTTTAGCATGTTTTCATGTTTATCATCAAGTATTTCTTTCAAAATTTTTCTTCTCATATACTTTACCCATTTTTCTATTGAAGTGTTTATCTCTTACTCATTTATAAGACTTCTTATTAAGAATATAATTAAGTATGTGTTACTAGCATTTTTTGCAGTTTATAATTTGTTCAATTTTATGGTGTCTTTCATCATACTACTATGTTTTCTTTATTTTTCAAAAAATTTTATATACTATACTATATATAGTATATATATAATATTATATATGATACATAGTATTTTAGATAAAATAATTTGCTTTCAAATAGCTGTCCTGGGAACACTTACTAACTAATACATTTTTTCTATTCATTTAGGATAATACTTTTATACTAAATTCCCTTGTGGTAGGTGTGTCTATTTCTGGACTCCCTGTTCTTTTTTTTTTTTTTTAGATTTTTTTTTACTTTTCCTTTTTCTCCCAAAGCCCCCAGTACGTAGTTGTGTATTTTTAGTTATGGGTCCTTCTAGTTGTGGCATGTGGGATGCCACCTCAGCGTGGCCTGATGAGCCGTGCCATGTCCGCGCCCAGGATTCGAACCGGTGAAACCCTAGGCCGCCGCAGCGGAGTGTGTGAAGTTAACCACTGGGCCATGGGGCCGGCTCCCTCCTTGTTCTTTTAAAGATTTTATTTTTCCTTTTTCTCCCCAAAGCCCCCCGGTACATAGTTGTGTATTTTTAGTTGTGGGTCCTTCTCACTGTGGCATGTGGGACACCTCCTCACCATGGCCTGATGAGCAGTGCCATGTCTGCTTCCAGGATCTGAACCAGTGAAACCCTGGGCTGCCAAAGCAAGTGAGTGAACTTAACCACTCGGCCATGGGGCTGGCCCCCAGACTCCCTGTTCTGTTCTATTGATATAGACCAACATATGCACTGTTTTATTTATTACAGCCTTATAATAAAGTTTAATATCTTGCAGGACAAGCTTCCTAATAATACTCTATTTCTAAAAGTTGTTTTGACTATTTTTGCTCTTTTATTCTTTGACATACACTTTTGTGTGCTTTTATTTAAATTTTTACTGATATATAACATGCATACTGAAAATGAACTTTATTTTATAACTAGTTTTTGTTTTTTAACTATAAAAGCAATTAAAAACCAATTCAAGGAAAAATACCTGACCTCCTTCCTCAGACATGCCTGTGCCATTCTCCAGAAGTAACCTCTTTGTCAAAATTGTAAATTTGATGAGAAAATTTTTTTAAAAAATTACCATCTCTGGATTAGATGAACTTTAGAGTAATTCAGTCTGGTTCTGGGAAATAAAACACTGAGATTTTATTTGCATATAATGAATTAATAAATTAATTTAGAGAGAATTGACATCTTACAGTGTTATCTTCTCCCACCCAGGAATGCTATGCTGCTGCTTTGTTTTTTTTTTTAAGTCTTTTGTTATGTCTTTCAATAAAAATTTTAAATTATTTTATTTATCACGCATGTTTCTTAATGAAGTTTATTTCTAGGCTAAAAAATGAATATATATATTTATTTACATATAAAACATAGCAGAAACCAAGGATAAATCATCTTTTTTGTAAGATCATTGATTTACAGGGAGAGAGTTAGAGGGGGAGAGAGAGTGTGTGTGAATGGTGTTGGTGTGCACAAGTGATATTATAAATCAGACTTTTTACTGTTATACTTTTATGCTGATATTATTTATAGGGTGGCTAATTTTTTTCATATTTATCTTTTATACTTTAATATACTATTATAATCAGAAAAAATTTTCATTGTACAAAATTCTGGACAACTCACACCAATATACATTAAGAAAAAATATTGTCTTTGATATCATGCAGAAATAACCAGTGTTGACATTTTGGTGCATGGTACTTTCTTCTAGATGTTTTTCAATATGCTCCTAATTATGTTTATACAACTTCAATACACAATAAGCTCCAACAACTTTATTTTATGAACATTTGTAATTGCTAAGTCTATCCTGTACTTACTATAATTTGTTTAATCATTTCTATGTTTGATATTTGGTTTTTTCTCATTTGTTATAATACACAGTATTTTCAGCAAGCATTTTTATATTTCTTTGCACATCAAATAATTTGCTTGAAGTAGGTTTCTAGAAGTAGAATTACTGGAACAAAGGATATAAACGTTTTCAATAAGGTTGTAAAAAATGAAAGTAATACAAAGTATTATAGAAAATAAAATAGAAAGAATAAAATTAAAATAACTCATAACCCCACTTATCAGAGATAAATTCTGTTGAACTTTTGATATAATTCTTTACAGTCTTTCTTCTTTGTGAAAGTATATATGTGTGTGTGTAATTTTTTAAACAAAATTGAGATTATAGTTTTGATCCTGTTTAGTTTAATTAAGATTACATTGTGAGAATTTTTCCAAGTTGTAAAAAATTTTTGAAATTTTCATTTTAAAGTTTATGTAATAATCTTATAAGATATACAATTTTTGTTAACCCCTACCCATTTTCAGAACATATATATTCTTTCCAGTTTTAAAGTATTTTTAACTATCCAAAATACAGGTGCAGTAAACACTTTTGTTTATAAATCTTTATGTTTCTGGTTATTTCCTTAGGGTAGAGTCTCAGAAATAAAATTCATTGATCAAAGGATACACACATTTTAAATAATTTATAATGCCGATGCCTTCTAGAAGGTGTTAGTAATTTACCGTCCCATCAACAGTATATTTGGGTGCCATACAGTCATTTAAATGGACTAGGCCTGAGTCTGTAGGTCTTTGCTCTGAGGAAGCAGATGTAATGGCTTCCACTTTCTATTTATCATTTTGTAGAAATATGGGAATTCCTTGAGACTGGTTTTTGGTCTGGCAGTTAAAGGGGACTTGGCTATTTACGCCCTGAAATGAATTGTTGCATCTTTGAGGGAAGAGATAAAAGGTAGTTTCTCAGACTTTAGAGAAGATGTTTTTGGAGAATTTTGTTCTGGATACTGTATAGTCTTTATAAGGAATGTTTGTGGACCCACGAAATCAGTAGAACTGAAGAGTAGCCAGAGAGTGACATGTCAAATTGAGAATCAGTCTTTTGGAAAAGAATAGGGAGAAAGTGGTAGAAGATAGTGAGATACAATTTTCTCTTTTTTTGAGTCCTTGGGAATAATTTCTTCCCAGTTATAAGGGCAATATTACATAGTATCCTTGCCTATCAGAAGGGCTGGAATATTAAGAAACTAAATGAAACCAACAGCTGGGGATTAGGAATGAATAATTTTTCATTCTTAGGCTTTGTGCAGATCAGGATGTCTCCGTTCTTTTAGACCTCACTTGCCCTTGTACCCTGATCATATTTATTGACTGAATAAATGAATGCATAAATAAAGAGATGGGTAAAAAAATAAGGGATTATAAATACACAGATATCAGAATAAAGGAAAGATTATGAGAAATTTTTTTTCCTCTTCAGTTTATTCATGATCTGATTTTTCTGTAAAGTTTTAATAAGCAGAACCTAAGGATACACACGTATGTGCTGATACAAGTCAGAATAGTTTTTGATCCATAAAACTTATGTTGACAAGAATATTATATCATTACTTTTAAAAGTAAATCAGCTTTTAATTTCTTTCTTTTTAACCATTTTTTCTCTGGCAACTGAAGTGAAACCTGAATTAGGCTGTAGACTCCCCCTGCTGGGTAAGAATGGGGAGAAGAGCAGAAAACCTCCACTTTGGGCTTGAACAGTCACAGGTTCCATTAGGGCTCTGTTGCAGTGCCCTAACTGGTATCTTTAAATCCTCATATGTGTTCTCTACAGGGAGCATTTCCAGCTCGTTTGAAGAAAGTATTGATTGTGGGAGCACCCATATGGTTCCGAGTGCCCTATTCCATCATCAGCCTCCTCCTGAAGGACAAAGTCCGGGAGAGGGTAAGGCAAGCTAGCTTTATTTTATTTGGAGGTGGATAGATACATTCACATCTCTACTGTTGAAACCTGCCAGTTAATTTTCTACCTTCAAAAAAATCCTCCTAGCTTGTCTTCCAGAGTACTTTCTGTTTCTGTGAGTGTATTCACTTGTATTCTCTGCTTTATTCTTTACTCACCTCAGTACAGGCTGCCTTTCCCACTGTAACTACAAGTTCCTTGAAGTTAGGAACTAGGCGTAGTGGCGCTCCCATTCCATAGCACCTTGCATAAAGAGAGTACTGAAGGAATGTGTCCCATGGTTAACTTAGAGATAGCTACTACTTCCAAAATTTAGCCTAGTGCTATACAGTTGTTAGAAGTTGTTAATATTTAACAACTTCTAATATAATTGCATTAGTTGAACTAGTGTTTGAATTTGTTCATCTGGAAATATCATTCAGTCCCTTTGACCACCTACGTGGTGGAAGAGTCGCTCACTGCATCTCTTGCTACTTTTATTCCTGGCATTTTCTCTTAAAACAGCTTGTCGCTTTCTAACTTCAAAAGTGTTTTCTAAAATTATCTTAATTCTGTTATCATCCCCTGAGTGTTCCAGGATTGAAAGATTATGGTTTCCCTCATTCACGTCTCATCCTTGGAATCCTCGAAAGAAAGGGCATATGAAACAGTGACATAGTAGGATAGGATTATGAGGTTATAACATTAACAACAATGCAGATCTTTATAGCTAAGATGACTTAGGTTGGAGAGGGAAAACTGAAGACATTTGGTTCTGTGAACTACTTGGGGACCTAGTGAATCTGAGTAGGAGAGATCTTTCCTGAGATAACTCTTTGAGAGGACTCCTTAGGCAAGTTCTTACACTTGAATTATATATAAGTGTAAATGCATGTATAAACTCAGAATATATTGAGCACCTTTATAGTCCAGGCTCTGGGCCCTGGGAATTAAAAATTGACTAAGACAGTCCTTACCCTCAAAGAGCTCATGGTCCTGATAGGGAACATAGAGAAAGACGTGCAGGCAGAGGACTGTGGCTCTGCACAGAGGAGAATATTGCCTCAGGCAGTCAGGGAGGGCTTCACAGAAGAGGTGCACTATAAGCTGGCCCTTGAAGAGGCTGAGGAGGAAAATGGGGCATTCCAGGAATAGGTAACAGCAAGAGAGACAAGCATCCTCATTTCACACGGATTCCAAGAAAACCAACTAGGCTAATTTGGTCTAGTGTGGCCATGTCCAATCAGAGAGCAGAATTAGGTATTATGATTACTTCTCTAGCATTTTTCTTTGGGCTACCTTGCCTCTGGGTGGCTGGTCTTGTCTTTTATTTCACAGAAACCTGTCTTTGAGAACACCTATACCGAGCTGTGAGTAAAGCATAAGATAACAGGCTTAGAATTGGTTGTCTTAGTAGGGGCTTGACAAAAATAATCACTACCTATGCATTGTTAGTAGTCAAAAAGGCAAATAGTCGCATGAGATGGTACTGGGAAGCCTTGTTAATAGTATAAAGCCTTTGTTCACCATACCTTCCTTTCAGAAGGTATATAACAGGGCCCCTAATTCCAGGAGGGAATTTGATATACATTCTGGGAAGTCAAACCTTTAAGAAATTCATAGGACTTCAATCCCAAGCAGATGAAATGCAGTCTACTTCCTTTACAGGTATACCAAGTATTTCAAGCAAATGTCATCATGTTCTCCAAACCTAACATAAGCACATTTGTTCTTTATCTTCACTATCTTTATGTCTACCGCCCCCTTCCCCCCCCACCCCGCATACTCACATGGTTCTTTCTGGCCTTCCAGATTCAGATATTAAAGACGTCTGAGGTCACCCAGCACCTGCCCAGGGAGTGCCTTCCAGAAAACCTGGGTGGGTACATCAAAATTGACCTCGCCACTTGGAATTTCCAGTTCCTACCCGAGATGAATGGCCACCCGGATCCCTTCGATGAGATCATCCTGTTCTCCCTCCCTCCTGCCTTAGACTGGGACTCGGTACATGTTCCAGGTCCCCACGCCATGACGGTCCAAGAGTTGATGGACTATGTTAGTACCAGGCAAAAGCGGGGGATATATGAGGAGTATGAAGACATCCGTCGTGAGAACCCTGTTGGCACTTTCCACTGTTCCATGTAAGTAGGAAACGTTTGGGGTACCGATCGGTTACCAGGATGCTTTTGGCATGGGCTGCCAGCAGCTCCTTCCACACTCACTTCCTTAACAGAGGCTTTTCCTTGTGTTAAGGAGCATCACTCTCGCTTAGATGAAGGTTTCTCTCATCCAGAAAGAGTCATCTGCTTTGGTGCTTGTTGCCAACATCCTATGCTCTAAAATTTCTGAAGGTCTTTGGTACTAACAAGGAACCCTGTAAAAATGGACACATTTTTTGATATTTTCTTGAAATGAAAGTGGTTTTAGGGAAAAAACAATGTAGGCTCAAAATGTAGGTTCTCTATTCCTGTCCTCAGGAACGTGTGTCTGGTCCTTTCATTTGGGCAGTTTCTCCCTAGAGTGTTTATAGTATAACATTACTTTCTGAGGTGGGGTGCTGGTGCATTTAAAATAATCCACAGTCAGGAAGAGAGAAGAGTTCCCTCTTGGAAGTTTAGCCTCATGGGATTTTCCTTCTACCCAAATCCTACCACCAAACCACCTGGCTAGTTTATAACTGGTTCATAACTACTTGATAACTATTGTTGGCAATACAACATAGATTATTTCTCTTATTGTTGCTCTCATTTATCTTACCATATTTTCATTGGCTGCAGCAGAACTTTCTTTCTCTCCAAGTTGAGCTCTGTCTGTTAAAAATTGGGGGAGCAGTCCCAGTGGGTCTCAGGCTCAAGTTCTGGCTTTGCCAAAAATCTCCAATGTGACTTACACAAGTTATTTCCCTTCTCTGCACCTTAGTTTTCCTGTGCGCACACATCTCTGCACCCAGTTTTCCTGTGTGTAATATGTGATTTTAGAGTCTGATATCACCCTCTTTTGTAGCTTAAATGTTTTAGGAATCTGTGCTTGTGTGACTACCTCTTCCTCCTCATAATTCCTATCCAGCTTAGTCAGTGTGCTCTAAAGAACATTGAGAGATAGAGGCTTTTAGCAAGAGGAAAGAAGAAAAATAATGAGTTAGGGAACAGATAAGGAAAGTAAGAGAGACGAGCACTTGAGAAAAGTCAGTAAGCAGATAAAGAATGCAAAGGAAAATAAGAGGAGAAAGAGAGAGCAGAGCATATATCAAGTGGGGAGAGTAGTCTTTTCTCCCACACAGCTGTTTCTTCTCTACCAGCTCCAAGACCCGTATCTGCATCCAGTCTTTTTCCCAGCCAGACAGTTTTTTCCCGTTGTTGTTGTTGTTGTTTTTAAGATTGGCTCCTTTTCCCGTTGTTTTGTTTTTTTTTAAGATGGGCACTTGAACTAACAACTGTTGCCAATCTTTTCTTTTCCTGCTTTTTCTCCCCAAATCCCCCCAGTACATAGTTGTATATTTTAGTTGTGGGTCCTTCTAGTTGTGTCATGTGGGACACCGCCTCAACATGACCTGACGAGTGGTGCCGTGTCCTCGCCTGGTATCCGAACCAGTGAAACCCGGTGCTGCTGAAGTGGAGCATGCGAACTGAACTACTCGGCCACGGGACCGGCTCTTCCCCTGTATTTTTGAACCAAGGAAGTAGTATGGAGCAGGGAAGAGTGCTAGGCTGCTCCAAGAGGATACACGCGTGTCCTGGGGATTCCTGACCTTGCTCTGGTTGCTTCTGCAGTGAGGCCCTTGAGATGTCATTTCTACCATTGTTTCCCTTCCCCCTATTCAAAAAGCAGGCTTGGCTTGACCTCTTGGCATCCCCCAAACCAGCTATTATCTTATAATCAGAGAACACACCCCAGTCCCATGGAAGGACTTCCTAATTTTGCCTCTTGCTTGAATGAATGAGCCCCCAACTTCAGGAGCTAGAACCCAGAATCCTCATCAGCTCTAGTCCTCTGTCTTACACCAATAATGTGTATTAATGAAGTAATGTGTAATGAGATTCCATTGCTGTTTTAATTTACATTTCCCTAATAGCTAATGATGTTAAACCTTTTTATGTGCTTATGTGCCATCTGTATAGCCTCTTTATAAAATATCTTTTCATGTTCTTTTTCACCATTCATAAAATAAACTCAAAATGGATCAAAGACCTAAAGATTAGGCCTGAAACAATAAGTCTTCTAGAAGAGAATATAGGCAGTACACTCTCTGACATCAGCTTCAAAAGAATCTTTTCAGACACCATAACCCCTCAGACGAGGGAAACAATAGAAAGAATAAACAAATGGGACTTCATCAGACTAAAGAGCTTCTTCAAGGCAAGGGAAAACAGGATTGAAACAAAAAAAGAGCCCACTAATTGGGAAAAAATATTTACAAGTTATTTATCCGACAAAGGGTTAATCTCCATAATATATAAAGAACTCCCACAATTCAACAACAAAAAAATCAAACAACCCAGTCACAAAATGGGCAGGGGACATGAACAGACATTTCTCCAAAGAAGATATGCAGATGGCCAATAGACACATGAAAAGATGCTCATCATCACTAATCATCAGGGAAATGCAAATCAAAACTACACTAAGATATCACCTTACACCTGTTAGAATGGCAAAAATATCCAAAACCAAGAGTGACAAATGTTGGAGAGGCTGTGGAGAAAAAGGAACCCTCATACACTGTTGGTGGGAATGCAAACTGGTGCAGCCACTATGGAAAACAGTATGGAGATTTCTCAAAAAGTTAAAAATAGAAATACCTTATGACCCAGCCATCCCACTACTGGGTATCTATCCTAAGAACCTGAAATCAGCAATTCCAAAAGTCCCATGCACCCCTATGTTCACTGCAGCATTATTTACAATAGCCAAGTCATGGAACCAACCTAAGTGCCCAGCAACTGATGATTGGATAAAGAAAATATGGTATATATATACAATGGAATACTACTCAGCCATAAAAAAGGACAAAGTCGTCCCATTCACAACAACATGGATAGACCTTGAGGTATTATGTTGAGTGAAATAAGCCAGTCAGAGAAAGATGAACTCTGTATGACTCCACTCATAGGTGGTAGTTAACATATAGACAAAGAGAACTGATTGGTGGTTACCAGGGGAAAGGGGGGTTGGGGGGAGGGCACTAGGGGTGAAGTGGTGTACCTACAACATGACTAATAATGATGTACAACTGTAATTTCACAAGGTTGTTCACTATCATAATCTTAATAAAAAAATCTTTTCATGTTTTTTGTCTATTTTTCTATTTGGACTTTTTTTAACTGTTGAAATTTGAGAGTTCTTTATATATTCTAGATACTGGTTCTTTGTTGGATACGTGGTTTGCGAATATTTTCTTCCACTCTGAAGCTTATTTTTTTTCCTCTTAATAGGGTCTCTTGTGAAGCAAAAGTTTTTTATTTTTTTATTTTTTATTTTTTTTGAGGAAGATCAGCCCTGAGCTAATTGCTGCCAATCCTCCTCTTTTTTTTCCTGAGGAAGACTGGCCCTGAGCTAACACCCATGCCCATCTTCCTCTACTTTATATGTGGGATGCCTACCACAGCATGGCTTGCCAACTGGCATGTCTGCACCCTGGATCTGAACTGGTGAACCCCAGGCCGCCGACGTGGAACGTGTGAACTTAACCACTGCGCCACCCAGCCGGCCCCAAAAGTTATTATTTTGATGAAGTCCCTTTAATCAGTTTTTCCTTTTATGGATCATGCTTTTGGCATCAAGTTAAGAACACTTTGCCCAGCCCTAGATTCCAAAGATTTTCTCCTGTTTTCTTTTTTTCTAAAATTTTTATAGTTTTATGGTTTTTTTTTTCAGAAAGATTAGCCCTGAGCTAACTGCTGCCAATCCTCCTCTTTTTGCTGAGGAAGACTGGCCCTGAGCTCACACCCATGCCCATCTTCCTCTACTTCATATGTGGGACGCCTATCACAGCATGGCGTGCCAAGCGGTGCCAGGTCTGCACCCAGGATCTGAACTGGTGAACCCTGGGCACCAAAGCAGAATGTGCGAACTTAACTGCTGCACCACTGGGCCAGCCCCAGTTGTATGTTTTACATTTAAGTCTGTGAACAATTTTGAAATAATTTTTGTATAGGTGTAAAGTTTACATTGGTGTTCATTTTGTGTGTGTGCGTATGTGCCTATGTCTGTCCACTTGCTCCAGCACCATTTGTTGAAGGGTATCTTTCCTCCATTGAATTGTCTTTGGAACTTTGTAAAATATCAGCTGGGCTTATTTGTGTGGGAAGAGGGAATTTTTTTAAAGAGCAGAGCATAACATGACAAACAACTATGTTCCTATCATCAGAATTGATACAATTTTTAATATTATATTTGCTTCAAATTTTTTTTTATTATAATAAAAGAAAATTCATTCTAAAGTTGAATCCCTTCTAATTCTCACCATCAGCTCTCACCTCCCAGAAGCAGCTGCTCTAGTACTATGAATATGGTGTGTTTCCTTCTAGGCCATTTTGTTTATGCTGTTACATATACATTTGTACCCACGAACAGTATAGAACATTATTTTATATGAGTGGTCTTTGTAATTATTTTTTTGGTTTTAATCAATATATAGGTAAATAATTTTTTTAAAACCAAGTACTACCAAAGAAAAAAGCGATGACAAAATAAACAGCAGTCTTCTACCTTACCCTCAGTTCCACTCCCTTAGTTATCCATTTTCATCTCTTGTAGCTCTTTATTCTTGTATTTTTTCCATAATTCTAAATAAAATGCTTATAATATTTGTTATTGATTTTTATGGTAGGTAAGCATTTAGCTCTTACACCATGTCTCCAGTTCCCTTTTGACTGTTTTCCAACATAATTATGTCACAATTTTTTATTAAATCAACATTCACTATTTACATTACTGTGACTAATTTTTTTATTGCAGAGCTAAGTGGGCTTCTATGAAATGGTCATATATATTAAATCTTATCAATTCCATTTTTTGTTTCTTCTGGAGTTACTATCTAATTTTTTCATTTGCTTTTAGTTTTCTATGTACCTATACTTATTTTTTTTCCTATGCTTAATCAGATTTATTTTATACCATCATTATGTTCCAACTGGTCAAATATAATCAATTTTTCATTATTTTTCCTGGAGATCTCACTTGTAGAACTTTTTGGTTTTTTGCTCCAGTCTAAACTGTGGTTGGTCGTTACCTGGACTCGCTCTTCAGCTCTCATCCTGCCATTTCCCCACCCTACTTTCCTTTACTGACTCTTGTTTCCTGGGTTCCATGTCTTTTTCTTTCTTTACTTATTTTTCTATTTTGCTAGAGCATAAAATTCTAGGTTGGAAATAATTTTACCTTAGAATTTTTAAATCAGTACCATTCTAATGCTGCTAAATAGTTGGCGTTATTCTTATTCCTTCTCAAGTCTTTGTAAATGATCTTTTTTTTCTTTGGATAGTTTCAGATAATCTATCTTTCTGTTTAAAAATTTCACAATGATCTGCCTTGATGTCTTTTTTTTCATTCATTTTACTGAGTGCTTGATAGGTTCTTTTACTCTGAAGGTTTGTGTTCTTTAGTTCTAGGTCTTGTTTTTACATTATTATTTTTTTCATTCTTTCTTTCTTTGTATTATATCAGTTCTCTCTCTCTAAAATATTCCTATCAGTCTGGTTGGATCTCCTAGATCAGGGATTGACAGACTTTTTCTTAAAAGGCAAGATAGTAAATATTTTAGACTTGTGGGCCTTTATAACCTTTGTTGCAAGTACTCAACTCTGCCATTATAGTGTGAAAGCAGCCAAAGATGGTACTAAACTGATGGGCTTGACTGTGTTCCTGTAAAACTTTTATTTACAAAAACAGGCTAGGCTGTAGTTTGCTGACCACTGTCCTAGAACAATTCCCTTATTTTCTTTAATTTTCTCATTTTTCATCACTTTGACTTTTTGTTTTATATTCTGGGAAATTTCCTTAACTTTCTCTTTCATCTCTTCTATTAAAATTCTTCTTTTTTTTTTAAGGTTTTATTTTTCCTTTTTCTTCCCAAAGCCCCCCAGTACATAGTTGTCTATATATTTTAGTTGTGGGTCCTTCTAGTTGTGGTACATGGGATGCTGCTTCAGCATGGCCTGATGAGTGGTGCCATGTCTGCACCCAGGATTCAAACCAGTGAAACCCTGGACTGCTGAAGTGGAGTGCACGAACTTAACCACTTGGCCATGGGGCCAGCCCCTCTTCTATTAAAATTCTTATTTTGGATGTCATTTTTAATTTCCAAGAGCTTTTCTTCTCTGGTCCTTTTTCATGGTATTCTATTCTTGTTTCATGTATATAGTATCTTTCTCTCTGAGGATATTAATTATACCCTTTAAAAACTCATTTTCTCTTACTCTTTTTTGTGCTTGTTTTTCCCTTTGTATATTTGAATTGGTCTCTTTCGTGTTAGGGGCTTCCCTTAATTACCTAGAGATCCTTAGCTGTCAGGTCACACTTAGTTGTAGGGTTTTTAAAAGCTGTTTGGAAGTGCTGTTTGCATGGGTTAGCGTCAAATTAAAATGATCAACTAACTTGTTGTTGGTGTAGTCCAAATGACAGAATTCTTTTTTTTTTTCTTCTCCTCCTCCCTAAAGCCCCCAATACATAGTTGTATATTCTAGTTGTAGGTCAACAGACTTCTTTTATGTAGGGCTGTTCACTTTCTCCAGAGAGGAATTCTCCACTGTCTTGCCTGGTAGGTTCTGAACTTAGATATGAGTGTAGGACAGGCTAGGACAAGGAAAAGGGGGCAGGGGATTCTCAATGTCTATCATTCAGATTTTCATTTATTCCTGTTTTTAGCCTGGGTGTCACCTTGCCTTCCAGGATGTGGGAATTTTAAGGGTAAGGGTGAGTCATTGTGTTTCTCTGTAGGTAACTCTGTGTGTCCTAGCTTTCTACACTTGGCCAAGTCAGCCAAAATTGTTCCATCTGTTTTCTCTCTGCCATTGGGGGTTGAAATCTCTCTGTCTGTTGATGTCTCTGGTGTCACTACTGACTAGTTTCTTTATTGTCATTTTAGTGAGGCTACTAGGTAGAGTGGAGTCAAATGTGTTGTCTACCTACCATGTTAAACTGGAAATTGAGATTTATTTTGAACGTCTTTTGAGAAATTAGTAGAAAATTTTATTTGCAGTTCATTTTTTGGTGCTGTACCATTTTTCTCTTTTGAGAATAAAGATGAATGAATTTATTTTGAATGGAAATAAAGATATTTCCATTCAAAAGAGAAAAATGGTACATACTTATCATTAAAAATGTTAAATGAGGGTCTGGCCCGGTGGCGCAGCAGTTAAGTGCCCACGTTCCGCTTTGGCGCCCAGGGTTCTCCAGTTCAGATCCCGGGTGCGGACATGGCACTGCTTGTCAAGCCATGCCGTGGTAGGCGTCCCACATATAAAGTAGAGGAAGATGGGCACAGATGTTAGCTCAGGGACAATCTTCCTCGGCAAAAAGAGGAGGATTGGCAGCAGATGTTAGCTCAGGGCTAATCTTCCTCAAAAAAAAAAAAGTTAAATGATATGGAATTATATAGACTAGACAATGAAAAGGTCCTATGTCTCCACCCCCAAGAGTAATTGACACCCACCCTTGTACTGCTAGAATTTGTACATAACACATGTACGTTGTCCCCATTGTCTTTATTTTAGCTTGTCTGTTTCATTTTCTGTAGGTCTCCAGGAAACCTAGAGAAGAACCGCTATGGAGATGTACCCTGCCTGGACCAAACGAGAGTGAAGCTGACAAAACGAAGTGGCCACACTCAGGTAGAAGGATAAATGCTGTCTTTTGAGGAGCACTGAGGGAAGTTTAAACCTCTTGCAAAGTGAAGCTTACTAGTACTGTAGTAGAAAGAACATGGACTCTAAGCCAGAGAGAGAAGGTTTGAGTTTTAATTTTGCTATACACTAGTCTGTTACCATAGGCAAGTCTCTATATGCCCATCTCACAGTACTTAGTGGAAATTAAATGAAATACTTTATGTAAATGCTGATACCACAAGGGTGATCGTATATTGTAGATGCTCAATAAATGTTCAATTATTTCTCCTTAGTTGTAAAACCATATTCATACCATCTACCATATTGATGAGTGAATATGCATCAGTACAAGGCAACTGATTTAAGTGACCTCTGAATTTTCCATTTAGAAGATCTGAAAAAATTTTGGATATACGTATCTGAAAAAATCTAGTATATATGTAGATATCTAAGGATAGAGATGAAATGGTCAAATGACTATATTACTTTATGTATTAATTTGATCATATCTGTACATATTAAAATTCACATATATAATAGTATAGATATTTAGTGAACATGTTATTCAGACTCTTCACCTGCACCTTTTTTTTTTTAAAAGATTTTATTTTTTTCCTTTTTCTCCCCAAAGTCCCCCAGTACATAGTTGTATATTCTTCGTTGTGGGTCCTTCTAGTTGTGGCATATGCACCTTTAACATCTGTCTCTTTTCCTATTTGAGCTACTTTTTGAGTCAATCTAACACAGTTTTCCAGACTACATCATTTTTATTTGCTTTTAAGTACATGCTCACATGACAAGTACATTGTCACTGGAAAGTTTATCCTAAACCAGGAAAATCTACTAGCATAACATTAGTATAGTTTTTTCTTTTCATTCATCCTGTATCTCATGCATCCTCTATAGCATAATCATTTACTTATTACTTTTTAAAGTCCTCTTTAATATAATTTGTTTACAGTAACATCTAACACTTAGAATTTTGAGGTCATTGACTAAAATAGGTGTTATATTTCTTCTTTTTCATTCTGATATAACAGTTCTCTCTGGTGACCTCAATATGCATCAAAAAACCACATTGATTGAGGTTGCTGTTCAAAGTGAAGGAATTTATATAGTGCGCCTTGAACATGAGACACATTATAGGGACTTGTTATATCTGTCCTCTTTTTATGGGAGATAACTTTTGAGAAAATCATTGCCTTGTATTTGGGCATGTATGTCACATGGGTTGGGACCCTAGGATCGTGATTTTAATCTCCTCTGACCCTGCCGTTTGAAGTGCACAGACTGAATTAATAGCCCTGTCTAGGATCCTTATAGAGGGTTTTCCTGCCAGAGCATTAGCTAAGAGTGGCTGACTGAGGGCAAATTCATCAGTGTTATTGAGATCATCATAGGGGTAAGCTATGAAGGACTTGGGTATAATAGTTGAGTTGGGGCTCTAGGGTCAGAGATATCTGTATTTATCTGTCTTGTTGACTGACTGCTGTGTCTCCAGTGCCTATAACAGTGCTTGGAAGATATCAGACATTCAGTAAATTATTTGTGACTGAATGAGTGAATCCCAGTGTACTAGGAGACTATTCTAGTCATCTTATAATTAATCTGAAGATCATCACTTGAGTTATAATCCCTCTCATTACTGCAAACATTAGCAGAGGCTTTATATCCACGGTAAATAGAGGATTCAGGTTTATTAGTGAATTGTTCACCAGATTTGCTCCTGGAATTATAAAGCTATTAGTCATGGTTTCTGTTGAACATGGCCTATAATATAGTGTGCTTGGTTTGGTTCTTCCTGCTATTTCAGTTTGCCCCCAAATCTATACTTTATTTCTGAGGTCATTTTCTTTCTTTCTTCTTTCTTTTTTTTTTTTTGAGGAAGATTGGCCCTGAGCTAACATCTGTGCCCATCTTCCTCTATTTTATATGTGGGATGCCTGCCACAGCATGGCTTGATAAGCAGTGCTAGGTCTATGCCTGGGATCTGAACCGGCGAACCCTGGGCCGCTGAAGCAGAGTGCGCAAACTTAACCACTACACCACTGGGCTGGCCCCTCATTTTCATTTTTAATATCTGATGATTCTTCTTAAATTGCTGATTTTAATTCCCAGTGCTCTCAGAGACAAAGATGCTGAAAGCTGATATCCTTAGTTATAAAGCAAAAGTAAATCTCTTTTAAAGATGTGACATTTCAAAGCATGAAGGTAGCTCCAAGAGTAGCAACTTATATGTTACTTATATAATAGTGTTGATTGGCATGTACCAGGCAAATCCTTGTACTTTTCTAAAATGCTTTCTGGCCTAGGTCCTGTAGAGTATACCACTTGAATGTGCTAGGCTGGGCACAGGATGTGCTTTGGCTGATTATGGGTGGACCCTGGATTGAGAAGCACCTGGTTGGGAGTGAGTGAGGCTTTTAGCTTGCTGGATCTGCTGCAGATGGTCCATTAGCTCAGTGAAGGTATGTGGGTCAGGGTAGAACACTAGTAGTATGAGGTCAATACCAGCTGCTGTGGGAGGAGAGAAGAGCAGGAAACTCTTGACTTAATAATTAGTGGGAACAACAAAAAAACAAACAACCTGATGAAAAAATGGGCAGAGGATCTGAACAGATATTTTTCCAAAGGAGATCTACAGATGGCCAACAGACACATGAAAAGATGTTCAGGATCGCTAATTATTAGGGAAATGCAAATCAAAAACTACAATGAGATATCACTTCATGCCTGTCAGAGTGGCTTTTATTAAAAAGACAAGAAATAACAAGTGTTGGAGAGGACGTGGAAAAAAGGGAACCTTTGTACACTGCTGGTGGGAATGTAAACTGGTATAGCCACTATGGAAAAACAGCATGGAGATTCCTCAAAAAATTAAAAATAGAAATACTGTATGATCAAGCTATTCTACTTCTAGGTATTTATGCAAAGAATAGTAAAATACTAATTTGAAGAGATATATGCATCCCAATGTTCATTGCAGCATTATTCACAGTAGCCACAACTTGGAAGTAACCTAAGTGCCCATCAGTGAATGAGTGGATAAAGAAGATGTGGGATACACACACACACACACACACACACACACACACACACACACTGCAGAATAATACTTAGACATAAAAAAAGATGAAATCTTGCCATTTGCGACAACATGGATTGACCTTGAGGCTCTTTATGCTAAGCAAAATAAGTCAGATGCAGAAAGACAATTACTATATGACTTCATTCATATGTAGAAGATAAACAAACACAAAGATACAGAGAACAGATTGGTGGTTACCAGAGGGGAAGAGGGGAGGGTCCTGGGCAAAAGGGGTAAAGGGGCACATGTGTACAGTGATAGATAAAAACTAGACTTTCGGTGGTGAACACGATGCAGTCTATACAAAAGTTGAAATGGAATGATGCACACCTGAAATTTATATAATATTATAAACCAAGGTGACCTCAATTTTAAAAAATTAAACAAAATTAAAAGTTTATGTCTTAGAACTTTTTTTTTTTTTTACAGGGGAAGATTTGCCCTAAGCTAACATCTGTTGCCAATCTTCCTCCTTTTTTTCTTCCTTTTCCCCCCCTAAAGCCCCAGAACCTAGTTGTATACAGTTGTAAGTACTTCTGGTTCTTCTGTGTGAGCCACCGCCACAGCATGGCTACTGGCAGACATGTTGTGTGGTTCTGTGCCCAGAAAGCAAACTTAGCCCACTGAAGTGGAGTGTCCTGAACTTCAACTGCTAGGCCTCAGGGCTGGCTCAGGACATTTCTTGATACATATAAGCAAACATTATTTCTGGAGAAATATCCAGCTGTATTTTTTCATTTTAAATAAAGACATTTGATTCTGAACAAACAAAAAACCAAAAAGAAATAATTAGTGGGAGAATAAGTTGGTAAACTGACTGGCGAACAGACACATATCCACATAACATGGTTTTCACCATGAGATGCAGATGCTTTCTGAAAGTAGCTATGGGGTACAGACAGTTCAGACTGTCCTCCAAGTGATAGGACCCAGTGGAGAAAGGGTGATGGACTGGGGAGTCATTCTGACCTCTCTAGAGTAGAATGGAGTATGGGTTTTCCCTAGTTTGCTATTGAAACTTTTTTTCTTTTGTTCTTCTATAACCCTCCACATCCTCCGCTATCCATCCTAACTGCTAGATACGCTCAACTAGTTATATTATGACTTGAAACTGTAGCTGCATCTTTATTTCTTTTTTATCAACTCTGATTAAAAGATGTTGGCAGAGATCTTGTGAGGAGGTATAATAAAAATAAGAAAAAATTAAATCCTATTTAATTTCTCTGATGGCTAATGATGTTGAAGTAAGTAAGAATGAGGATGCTGGGAGATGGGAGAACGCCCCCAGAAGAGAGTAAATCAGGAGCTGTTCATTGAAACGCCTCCAGATTGGGCTGTTGCTTTGTGTTAATTCACATAGTAATGGAGCCTGGGTGTTTGGCCCATGCTGTTGATGGTACTAGGTATGAAGTGTAGCTTTCTTCCTTCTCCAGGCACACTTTGCCTTTTGTGTGTGGCAGCATGGACAAGATGTTCCTGCTCAGGTTGCTTGGCTTGCTTCCCTTTTGGTTCTGAGCTGTGGTGCTGCAAGTCCTAATGGACTCCATTTTCGTAAATAACAGCTTTATTGAGATAATTCACATACCATACAATTCACTCATTTACAGTGTACAATTCATTGGTTTTTAGTATATTTGCAGAGTTGTGCAACTATCATCGCAATCAACTTTAGAACGTTTTGTCACCTGAGAAAGAAACTCCATATCCTTGGCTATCATCCCCATTTTCCCCCATTCTACCTACTTTCTGTTTCTATAGATTTACCTATTGTGGACATTTCATATAAATGGAATCATACAATATGTAGCCTTTTGTGTCTGGGTTCTTTCACTTGGTATGTTTTCATGATTTATCCATGTTGTAGCTTATATCAGTACTTCACTCCTTTTCATTGCTAAATAATATTCCATTTTATGGATATACCACATTTTATTTATCCATTCATCAGTTGAGTAACATTTGAATTGTTTCCATTTTTTGGCTATTATGAATAATGCTGCTATGAATATTTCTGTATAAGTTTTTCTATAGATATATGTTTTCATTTCCTTCAAGAGTGGAATTGGTAGATCATATGGTAAGTCTGTGTTTAACCTTTTCAGGACCTACCAGACTGTTTGTTTTCTAAAGTGATTGCACCATTTTATATTACCACTAGCAGTGTATGAGGGTTCCAGTTTTTCCACATCTTTGCCAACATTTGTTAGCTATCTTTTACCTATAGCCATCCTAGTGGGTGTGAAGTGGTATCTCATTGAGGTTTTTTTTTTAATTATTATTAAGATTATGATAGTTTACAACCTTGTGAAATTTCAGTTGTACACTATTGTTAGTCATGTTGTAGGTGCACCCCTTCACCCTTTGTGCCCTCCCTTCACCCCCCCCCCCTTCCCCTGGTAACCACCAATCAGTTCTCTTTGTCTATATTTTAACTTCCACCTATGAGTGGAGGTACACAGAGTTCGTCTTTCTCTATCTGGCTTATTTCACTTAACATAATACCCTCAAGGTCCGTCCATGTTGTTGTGAATGGGACGATTTTATCCTTTTTTATGGCTGAGTAGTATTCCATTGTATATATATACACCATATCTTCTTTATCCAATCATCAGTTACTGGGCACTTAGGTTGCTTCCACGTCTTGGCTATTGTAAATAATGCTGCAATGAACATAGGGGTGCATGGGACTTTTGGAATTGCTGATTTCAAGTTCTTTGGATAGATACCCACTAGTAGGATGGCTGGGTCATAAGGTATTTCTATTTTTAATTTTTTGAGAAATCTCCATACTGTTTTCCATAGTGGCTGCACCAGTTTGCATTCCCACCAACAGTGTATGAGGGTTCCTTTTTCTCCACAACTTCTCCAACATTTGTCACTTTTTGTTTTGGATATTTTTGCCATTCTAACAGGTGTAAGGTGATATCTTAGTGTAGTTTTGATTTGCATTTCCCTGATGATTAGTGATGATGAGCATCTTTTCATGTGTCTAATGGCCATCCGTATATCTTCTTTGGAGTCTCATTGAGCTTTTGATTTGCATTTCTGATGGCTAATGATGTTGAGCATCTTTTCGTGTGCTTATTGGCCACTTCTTTTATATCTTACTTGGAGAAATGGCTATTCTGATCTTTTGCCCATTTTAAAATTGGGTTGTCTTTTTTACTACTTGGTTGTGAGAGTTCTAATAAATTCTAGATACAAGTCTCTTATCAAATATGTACATTCTATGGCTTGTTTTTTCACTTTCTCAGTGGTGTCTCTGAAGCACAAAATTTTTCAGTTTTAATGTAGTTCAGTTTATCTGTTTTTTCTTTTGTTGCTTGTGCTTTTGTGGTCACATCTAAGAAAGCTTTGCCTAACCCCAGGTCACAATATTTAATCCTATATTTTCTTCTAAGAGTTTTATAGTTTTAGGTTTTACATTAGGTTTGTGATCCATTTTGAGTTAGTTTTTATGTATGGTGTGAGGAAGGGGTCAACTTAATTTTTCTGCATGTGGATATCCAATTGTTCCAGCATCGTTTGTGGAAATGTGGTTTTTAATTGGCCCTTTCCCTGTTCATTTTCTGCCTGACAAGAAGAGAATATCCACACCTTGGGTTTTATTTACCTAGTACATTATTTTCCTCACCCAAATGGTGTATTCCATGCAGCTGCAATGATATTTCCATTTTTACCATTAGACAGATTACATCAATGCCAGTTTCATGGATGGCTACAAGCAGAAGAATGCTTACATTGGTACACAAGGTAAGTTAGTCTGCCCCTCACAAGTTGGTTTTGTGTCATCTACCTGTGATTCCTTGCATCAGATGATAGCATAATTTTTAAAGGAAATAGTAACTTGATGTGATGTTGTGGCCACTAGATCCTGGCATTTCATAAAGATTGGGGATTTTTGAGGAAGACAGAGGAGAAGTGTAGAGTTTTTGTACCAGATATTGCTGGAAGCTCACTGCATAGAGATAAACTGGAGATTTGAACACACAACACTACTACAGGGTTTTGGACCGTGTCTTAGTGGTGCCAGCCCAAGGGAATGGGACATTAGAACTCACGGGCTAGTGAGGTGCTCCTAATGTCCAGTAGGAGGCCAGGAGTGGCAGTAGGACTTTCCAGAGATTGAGTCCAACCTATGAATGGGTGTTGCTGTTAAGAGGCTTTTGCTGGTCTCTGTACTGTCAAAGAGCACACCAGCAGTCTTCTGATAGGGATAGTCTGTGCTAGGTCTGACAGTGAAGTACTGGGCTTTAGGCAGATTTCAGACGAAGTTTCTATAAATGCTCCTGTGGGCCCCAGTACTCCCTTTTGACCTGGCTTCTGCCATCTCAAGGAGAATACCAGGTTGCCTTGAAATCGGGTGGGAAGAAATCACAACATAAGAGGATATAACAGGCCACCATATGGACTTAGGGCCCTTTATCCACTGCAGAGCATGGCCAGCAAGAGATCTGGCAAATACCCCCTGAACCAGGTGATCAAACTTAGTATCACCAGTAATGGACTAAACATATATTGTATTCTTCCTGTTGAATCCAGTGAGAACTGTACGACATAACTTATGTTGTGTGTTGCCGGTTTTTAAATCTGAATCTAATCCTGAGACACAAAGCAGACAAATCCAGATTGTGAGACATACTATCAGAAAACTGGCTTAGACTCTTCAAAGTTAATGCTGTGAAAAACAAAAAAAGGCAGAGAACTTTCTAGATTAAAGGAGACTAAAGAGATATGATAACCAAAGGCAATGCATGATCCATGATTGGAACCTCAATTTGGAGGAAAAACCCGTTAAGGACAAACTATTGGGACAATTGGAGACTGTGTTTTAGATACTATTATTATATCAGTGTTTAACTGCTTCAGTGTGATAAGGATATTGTTCTATAGGAGAATGTCCTTGTTCTTCTGAATACTTGCTCGAGTCACATATATTTCATAATGTCTTAAACTTACTTTTAAATAGTTCAGTATAGAAGAAAATATGTGTGTATGTATATAGAGAGAAGCGCATGTTACAAAATGATAGCTTTTGAGCTAAGGAATGTCTGAATACATTGTACTGTTCTTTCAACTTTTTGTAGGTTTTGAATTTTTCAAAATAAGAGAGAAGTAAAGGGAAAAGGTACTTTGGATACTGGTACATTGGTAATTGGTCTGATAGTCACAGGTTTATTTTCTTCCTCTAGGAGGGACCACTCCCTCCCAAAGGAGTCCTTTTAAGAGCCTGAGAAGAAACAAGAAAACTATCAGGAAAGATTTTTGTTAGGTATAGGATATGATATGATTTGCCTGAGAGTAGGGGCTTTGTTGAGGAGGATGGCCATGGCGTGGATGGGCTTATGGAGGGTAAGGATTGTCTCTAGGGGGCCTCAGAATGCTCCTTTCTCCAGGTTTAGAATGCAAAGGCACTGCTTAGAGTTGCTAATTATGCAGAGATTGTTTCCTTTAGGCTGGCTCTGAAGGCCCCTGTTTCAAACTCTTGCAGGAATATGAGAGAGATTTCTTGAGTCAAGCACTGATCTCCTTTAGAAGGTGTCAGCAGTCTGTTAGGACTGGAACATGGGGTCCGTGATGTTGAGAAGGCTGGTTTGATTTGCCTGGCTAACCTTCTTGGCTATATTCAGTATTCTGATTCTTACTCATAATAATATCTCTACTAATGATATCTATCATCTATTGAGAGTATCTATTATATATCAGGTATATAATCTCCATCTAATTATGGAGACTCTGCAAGGAAGGTTTATTAATCCATGAACAAACTGAAGCCCAAAGAGGTTACGTGACCTTGGGTCACACAGCTAGTAAGTAGCAGAGTCAGAATTTGAACGCATGTCTGCTTGGTTCAAAACTCCTCTCAAGCCAAGTCAGCAGATTGTTTCACCCATGTCAGCATAAACCACAGACTTTATTTCTTTAGAGAAACCTACTGTTAAAGAGTCTTATCTGGGAAGTGCAACTTTCCCTTTTAAATCTCTCTCTTTTGCCTTGAGGAAATTATGACCCTTCTCAGCCTAGCCTGAGTTTGAGTGGTATCTGTGTTATCAGGTGCTCTAATTGGCAACATCAATTTTGCCAGTGGTTTGAATGTGGAAGATTAAGTATATGAGAGCTGCTGTGGTGCAGGATAGTGGGATATAGACAAAGCTGGGAGTCGGAGATGGAGAAAGGGTGTTATTATCTCCTTGACATGCATACTTTGGTAATGCATATCCATTGTAGAAAATTTAGAAAATGAAGCTGAAAATCACTCCTAACCCTAAGACCCATAGATAATGTTAACATTTTGCAGCATCTCCTTCTAAACATTTTTCTGTGCATACAAATAGATTTAGATAAATAAAATACCCAACAAAAGGGGCTCTTTCTGTACTTTATCTCCTTTTTCATTTGGTGGTATCTTGTGAATACTATTCGAAAGCATGAAATACAGATCTTAAAACATTACCTTTCCGGACTGCTTAAACTGGGGTTATGCCATAATTAAACTGATCCTTTCCTGTTAGACATTTAGCTTGTTTCCAAGACCTCACATGCTTTTGGCAGTCTCCACTTCTACAAAGACAGAATTCTAGTATTATAAAATGTTCATGCTTGCCAAAAAGCTTTAGTAAAAATGGTAGTGAAATCAGCAGACATGCAGGACAAAATCATCCCTTTGTACTGCCCTCCTTCCCTGAGAGCAGGATAGGAAGAAGCACTGGGAAAGTATAAGAAATTCTCCTGAATTGTTACTCCCTTGATTGAAAGGGAGTTTGTGGCCGACAAGTATCTTCAAAGATCCTGCTGAGTCCCCAGCCCTGTGCAGGTTCTAACTCTAAAAGGAGAACTTGACGGCCTGGCCTTTGCCCTCAGTACCACGTCTACTGAGACATGATTAATTCTCACAAAGTAAAATGACTGGTATAAGACCATTAACATTAAATGGTTAGGCTGTTTTGATCTAGCTGTGCCATCAAGATCTGAGAGGAGAGGAAGCCCTATAAGGAATGTGGTGGTCAGAGAAACCTTGAAGGAAAGGCAGCACTTGAAAATGGGTAGAAAGTGAATGGCATTGGAGGTGAGAGAGACAGCTTGAGCAAAGGAATAGATGTGGAAGTGAGCATCGTGTGTCTAGATTGTGATGAAGCAATTTCTTAGAAATATTAAACTGTCAGGGCATCCAGAATAGACTGGAAGAGAAAGACTCCTATTCAGAAAAGTAAACCAAGACGGTATTACGGTAACTCAGACAGAAGATGATGTGGTCTTCGTGGTAGTGAAATTGGGCAGGGAGACCAGGATGGGGGTAAAGGGATAAAAACCAAAGATATTTTAAAAGCAAATGTCTCTAGGACTTGGTAACTGCTTTTGGAAGATGAAGGAAATGAGTAAGTCATAGTTGACTCCAGCTTTTTAAGACTGAGTGATTTCAGAATGCCAGTACTGTTAACAGAGGTAGGAAAGTGGAGCAATAAAGCTAATTTTGAAGGAGACTGAATTGCAAACATGTTGGGTCTGAGGAGATGATGGGACATGGAAGGGCAATGGTTCAGTAGGCAACTGGTGATTATAAGGCTTAGGTGAAATGAAAACAGCTAGAGACACGTACACAGTTGACACTGTTAGTCTGGATGTGATAGCTGAAGCCCTGGTGATAAGGCTCTGCCAGGGTATGTAACAGTGCTTCTCAAACTGTAACCTACATACAGCTTCACCTGGGGATCTTGTTAAATGCAGATTGTGCATTTCTAACACTCTCCCATATGATGCTGGTGCTAGTGGTCCAAGGACTACCCTGAATAGCAGGCGTGTAGTGAGAGGAGCAGGGAGCCAGCATCTGTGCTTTGGTGTTAGTAGTTGGGAGATAAACAGAAGAACCTAAGAAGGAAAGAAGAGCTTCCCAAGGTCATGTTTCCTGTCTTCTCCTTTCATTCCAGGCCCTTTGGAGAATACCTATCGTGATTTCTGGCTCATGGTATGGGAACAAAAAGTCTTGGTGATTGTCATGACCACCCGGTGAGTTCATTCCTTTTCTTCCCACTGCCCTCTGCATCTACCCTGTCCCCAAGCATGGATGATTCAAGAGGGGAGTTTAGCTGTTAGAAACAATGAGCATTAGCAAAGCCAGGGCAGAGTTTGGGATATCTTAGCTTTTTCTTAGCTGACCCAGAGTTAACACAGCCACAGTCTGGTGGAGATTGGTACATCTGACTTGTCAAAGCTTTAGTCTATGGCTCTGGTGACTCTGGGCCAATTACAGACTATTCTGAGGTCCTGGCCTTATCCAGCAAAGGAAGTATTGGGAAACATGGGGCAATGCACTTTTAATCTAGTCTCTACTTCCAAATGGCAGCTGTCTTCCTGGCTTCTGAATTACCAGTTTCCTTTGCTCTCCCTTACCCTGCTACTTTTCACCATTTTTCTGCTGGTTCATATTTCCACCTATAGGAGAACTACAAAAAAGAAGGGAAACATAATAGGTCAGGCAGGAAAGTCTTGATGAAAGGATTATTTTTGAAATTTTGGTCTATATATCTGCCAAAACTTCAGGAATTACTATTTTGTAGTATTATCATTATGATAATTATAACCTATTTCAGATGAGGAGAAAAAAAATTAATGAGAATGTTTGCTCAGTTCGCTTCCTCGTGGCACTGTTACAGCCACCTTTGGTTTGGAGAGGAGGTAGAGGAAGAAGTACCAGCTCACAGTGCTTTAGAGCCACTGAAGAGTAGTGAGGTGAACTTGAGGACTTTACGTAAACTTCCTGCCAGCATCCCAGGAGCTGTGCCTTTCCCTTTCTCCTCTATCAGCCAAGGACCCTTATTGAGGAAGAGAATGAACAGTGGCTGAGATAACAGGGCAGAGAGGTGAGTCTGGCCCACCATGCTGTCTCTGCTGTCTTTCTTTGTCCACTCAGTATTTATCCCAGCTATGTGAAGAGTACCAAGAGGTATCAGGAAGGTGGCCAAATGATGTAGCAGGCCTACTAAATGAGTACATGCACAAACTTTAGCTGTTGTTACATCTGTTTAGAATGAAAGTTTCCTTCCTTTTCTGCCAAGAAACAAGAGTGTAAGTTAGACAGAAGCAATGCAAGAGATGACGTTGCTGCCTAGGAGTACAGCAGGTCATGGGGAGAGCAGGGTTACTGCTGCAGAGAGGAAGGATAGAAGGCTTACCTTGCTCTGTGTGTCTTCAGCTTTGAGGAGGGCGGCAGGAGAAAGTGTGGTCAGTACTGGCCTTTAGAAAAAGACTCTCGGATCCGATTTGGCTTCCTCACAGTGACCAATCTAGGCGTGGAGAACATGAACCATTATAAGAAAACAAAGCTAGAAATTCACAACACAGAGGTAAATCCAGGTTTCTATTTTCTCACTTTTTTGAAGCTGGGGGAAAACCTTTGCTGTAAAGAAAATCTCCAAAGGGAAGAGGCAGGATTCCAGGGAGTTTATAAGTTACTTCCGTTTTTCTGGGAACAGGGTTAGTATAGTCAACTCAGAGCCAGTATAGCCATATTATCTCAGCAGAATAGTGGCGTTACTTAGGAATAAAACTTATAAGAAATCTGGATCCTACAACACAGGATTTCTGCCCTCTGTAGACATTTAACCTTTCCTTTGGGTTTGTAGAGAAGTATTATGGAGAAAGTTGAGGGTGGTAGGCTGGAACCTTGGTAGTGGGAATACTGGGGGGTTGAGAATCTGGAAAAGCCAAAGGTAGTCAGGGGCAAGCAGAAATGACCTCATTAACGTTTGCTTCTTTTTTCATCCAAGGAACGGCAGAAACGCCAGGTGACCCACTTTCAGTTCCTAAGCTGGCCAGATTATGGTGTCCCTTCTTCGGCAGCTTCCCTCATTGACTTCTTGAGAGCGGTCAGGAACCAGCAGAGGCTGGCCGTCGGCAGCATGGGAGCGCGCTCCAAAGGGCAGTGCCTTGAGCCACCCATTGTGGTCCATTGCAGTGCAGGCATTGGCAGGACAGGTAATGCATCTGATGCAGCTCTTGGAGCATCCAGAGGCAGCAAGGGTTGGGGAGGCATAACAAAGCTGTTAGTTGCCAGATTGTAAGAATTTGACCCACTGGTGCCATGAAAAATTCCTCTTTAATGTCCTTTTTTTATCCCTAGTACTAGGTATACTGGCTAGAATGTACAGTTCACAAGCCAAGTCCTCTAGGGTTGATGCTTTATACATCCCATCAGCATGATTATCTTCTGACCCCATCACTATCACCTGGGTGTCCCAGAGAGCTCAGCTGGGCTGTTGCTTCCTTCTCATCCCCCTCCCTGGGGAGATCACCACCATACGCTGTGCTCTCCATTCTGGAGCTAGTTAGCAGGTTTTGCCTTAAGGGGACATGCATTGCAGGGACTGCTGGACTTTCTAGTTCAGAGGTCCCTTTGGGAGAAAGTCAAGAAGAATATGTTTGTGTAAAGTCTCTGTGGAGAAGTTGTAGAGAATCTGAAAATTAGGGCCCAAGTGTGAGAGTGCTATTGTTATATCTTTCCGGAAGTGAAGCAGGCAGTTCCTCTATGTCACCTTCCCACTTACTCTTCCTGCTACCCCTATATATGTCCTGAGAGACAAGAGGCCTTCTCATTTCTCTGGCCTCCAACACTCCCTGTGACCTCCTCCTCAAATCCTTTTAGGCCTAAGGCCAACTGGCCTCCTGCATGACGCACCTTGCCTTTGAATTCATTCATCTAGTCCTGCCTGAGTTATTTGGTAGAGGGAGGGAGAGAGGAGAAGTAGACCAGGTATGACCACTTCCTTCCTTCCTTCAGGTACTTTCTGCTCACTGGACATCTGCCTGGCACAGCTGGAGGAGCTTGGCACCCTTAATGTGTTCCAGACGGTGTCTCGCATGAGGACCCAGAGGGCCTTCAGCATCCAGACCCCTGAGCAGTACTATTTTTGCTACAAGGCAATCCTGGAGTTTGCAGAGAGGGAGGGCATGGTGCCTTCCAGCCACAACCTCCTGGCCATGGAGGATCAGTAACTGTCCCACGAGCCTCCTACCTGCTGGCCAGCCTTCCTTAAACTACCCTGGACACTGCTGAGCCTATAGGTTGCCATCAGTTACGCTGAAGCCATGGACCAAACTCTTTCTTGTGTTTCCCGGCACATGCGTGCTCACAAGGCAGTCTTTCCCTTTGGCTAGATAGATATGGTGAAATTGCTGCTAGAAAGGGCCAGCAGCAATGTATTCTTAATTCCTAGCACCTGCTATCGAACTGTGCCTTATTAAAACCAGATTGTGGCTATCAGTTTTTGCCAGGGGCCCCGAGGTAAGTGGGGGAAGGAACCTCCTCCCCCTTTCCCAATGCCATTCTCCTTCTCGAGGTTGCTCCCATTCCTTCCCTTTGCTAGAATTTGATGGGGAGGTTTGGTGAGCATCCACCTTCCTTCCCAAAGAGCTTGACCATGTTACATATTCTAGAGAACGTCTTGAGTGCCAAGCACGTTTATACCTAGGGCGTGTATTCCAGTCTTTTCTGTCATTCTGTGTGTGTGTGTATGTGCACTTATGTGTATGGGTCCATATGTACGTGTGTATATAATATATATTGTATGTGATAATATGGTTGTATTCTATAAATACATATACACAGAGATACTCCTTTGTAGAACTTCCTGGGGCTTGTGTTGTAGTTCAGGACTCCTTACTTCTTGGACTCTGCTGTTTATCCTGCACTAGCTGTGGTTGGAGTTCATGTTCCTGTTGTCAGACCACAGAGTGATGGAAGAGGACATGCACACATCCACTCTCCGTGCTCCTGCCACAGGCCCTCACCCTTACGTAATGACTTATCTCTTTTCAGAATGCTGCCTGTTGGAGCCAAGAACACTGATTTGTGGTGACACTGGTTTAATTCAGCATGGATTACCCTATCTAATGATTTTTGTCTGTTTACTTTGCTGATTTGGGGAATAGACCTCCACTGTGATTCCAGACCCTCTCTTTCCTCCTCCCCATCCCTTGAGGATTGGTGTCTGGGGGTAGAGATGAACTCACTGAGCAGCCAGAGCCAAAAGCAATCAGTATGAAGTCTTAGAAGGAAAGAGAGGGAGCTGAGGTGTGAGAGAGAGGAAACTACCGTGAGAATCTCTCCTTGGGAGAATGAGTTGGTGCCCTTTCTTCTTTTGCTAGAAGGTTCCTTTCCTTATGCAACTTGGTCCTGTCCACTCAAATGCCCATCTCTTTCTGTCTACTAGTGTGCCAGACCCTGGAGCTCAAGCTGGGTGGGTTTTGTTTCAATAAAAAGCATAACCCGGGCCCAGCCCCGTGGCCGAGTGGTTAAGTTCGTGCGCTCTGCTTCGGCGGCCCAGAGTTTTGCTGGTTCGGATCCTGGGTGCGGACATGGCACTGCTCATCAGGCCATGCTGAGGCGGCATCCCACATGCCACAACTAGAAGGACCCACAACTAAAGATACACAACTGTGTACTGAGGGGCTTTGGGGAGAAAGAGGAAAAATAAAATCTTTAAAAAAAAAAAAAAGCTTACCCCCTGGCTGGGTGAGGAGTCCCTTGCAATCACTGTTTGCCCCCTACTCATCCACCCTATCCCTGTCTGCTCCAAGCCTGCCCAGCCTGATGTGCCAGGGATCGAATCAAGAGTCCCCAGCACTCCACATTCCTAAGAAAATCCCAGGAACCTCTAAACCTTCTTCCCCCATCACAGATGAGGTTGGCAGCTGATCAGACCTCAATAATTTTATACTGTAATAAGCTCTTTGAATGTACATATTCTTATTTTTACAATTTTTCATTTTGTATTTAACATCAATGGACTGAGTCAGATTCAGAAAATAATTGTAAATGTTCATATTCAATATCTTACAGCGATACAGTTTTGTATTTACATATAAATATACTGACATGATCAAACCCTTTTAGCTTCATCAATGTAGTAGCAGTCTGGGGCTGGGAAGGTGAGGAGGGGGTCCAAGAGCTGATCTGGGAGGGATGGGGAGGTAGGGAGGGACTTAAGGCCTAAGTATCTGAGACTTTCAGTTCTGAGAGGCACCTACCTTGTCCACAGACCATGGCCGTAACTCTGGGAAGACAAAGGGAATCAGTACCAGTTGCTGGATACCAATCTTTATGCTTGGTGCTTTTCCCCCATTACCTCATTCAAACTTCACTACAGTCTCGTGAGGTACTATTCTCCCACCCTTCTATTTCTATACAGATGAGGAATGTAAGGTCCAGAGGGTTACAGTGATTTGCTCTAGAACTAGAACTCAAGTTGGTCTGCTTACAAAGCCTTTGGCCTCCACTGCATTGCTCTCTCTCAAGGGTCAAGATAGTGTTGTCTTTGGAAACCAGAGGTTTTTGTAGCTCTCCTTTCAGAGTATAAACAGTTCTTCAATTCCAGGTAGTTGATCTTGAGTCCATGCTGCATGGAAGGGTGACGGATTTGGTGACTGATTCTCCCAGGTAGGACCTCCTGGTGTAGTGTCCTCAGGATTGCAGAGTACAAAAGGGTCATTCTCCCAGGGAAACTCCATACATATGGGTAGACTGGTGTCTGTGGAAAGTTACTTGCATCTCTTAGAATGGAACGAGAAGTTTTGTCCACATAGGACCACTTCCCATGCCATGTAGCTATTCCCTGGTGACCAGTGACACCTTGCCCAGTTGGGACAGTTTTGGCCTGGAGAGTGTGCAAAATATTGAGGTGTTCTTAATAAAAGTGATAGCAGCTAACATTTATTGGGTGCTTAACTCTGTTCCAGGTACTGTTCAAAGTGCTTTCTAAGTATTATTTCATTCACCCTTAAAGCAACCTTTTGAGGTAGGTATTGACAGAAGAAAAAGACTGTGGCACAGGAAAATTATTTTGCCGCATCCAAGAACCGAGACCATCTGACTCCAAAGTACCTGTTGTTAACTCTTAAACTAGACCTCCTCTAAGGATCCATTTCCTGATCTGCCAACAGATTTTTCCTGAGTGTCTTACCTTAATCAAGAGGTGAAGTGTAGAACAAAAGATTAAGCCAGTTCTTTCCCTGGAGAGCCTCTGTTCTCTTGGGGGTAAGCAAGCATAAGAGGTGAACAGAGATACTTGAAATCTGGGAAATCAGAGAAATATGTAGGAAACAAGATTAATGATAAAAGATCTGGAGAAGGTAGTCTTGAACTGTCATTTATTTGAAAGGGCTGTAACCCAACTGCTCTGTAAATCTAAAAGTTATGCATGAGCTCTTCCTTACACATCTGAGGATTGGTGAGGTTATCACTTGCAAGAGCTCTATAAAAATGCAGATTCTTAGGTCCTGCCCAGTAGATGGTTAAGTGAGTGACAGGATGAGCCAGGTTTCAGAACTACTGTCTTAGTCCACTGACTCTGAGGAAGATTAGCAAATTGATATCTCCTACATCTGAGAGAAAGGGATCAATAGCTTTCCCCTTTACTGCCACAGTTTCCTTCTACCTTTTACCATTGGGAAGATAATCAATACTGTGTTAACCTACCTGTGCTATGTGTTAAAAGAGGTAAAGGGAAGACAGAGAAGGAGCCCTGAATCTGTTTAGGAAGTTAAGGCTTTCACACTGAAGATTTGGTGAACAAAGCAAGAGAACCCACAATCAAATGCTAGATTGTATGGTTGAGAACATAAGATGAAGAAAAAGTGTTTGTGGGCGAGAGAGCCTCATGGGCTAACTCAGGCTTCTGTTTCTGTTTTGACTGCTATTTTTTTTTCACCTAACTTACTCCCTCTACCTTTGGTCCCTTCATCCTTGCCCATCCCTGTCAGCTAGGATGGGACTCCTGAGGTGAAGGGTGCCCCTGCATCCTCAGCCTAGGAGGCCCACCATTGTCAGTCTCCATGTCATCATGTGCAGGTAAATGACTGGTTCTTGGGAGACTAGACTATTTAGCATCATAGATTGAGGAAGATGAGACTCCTGCCCTGAAAGGCTTCCCCTCTCTAGGGACAACCAGACACATATATGGAAACCCACAAATCAGAGACTTGGAGGGAAGTGGGCCAGGTGGTATGGCCAGGTAAAAAAGCTTTCCTAGAGTGACTTAGCTCTTTGATAGTTTTGAGATCTTACCACTCAACCCAAGCCAAGTCCTAGCTTCCTTTTGTAAAAGAAGGGGCTATATTAGATGATCCTGCTATAGGCCCTCCGACTCTAAGGGTCTAGTTCTTTGTTAGCCAGTGCAAATGCCTGTAAAGGAACCAGCAGGCCCTTTCTCCAGTTGGGTTAGCTCCCACTTGAAATCCCCAGGTTTGACTTGTTTTCAAAGTCTCCTCTTTCAAGCTGCTGCTACTTCTCTATATTCCCTCAGTTCCCTTCCCATTTGGCCCCCAACTTGGAAAGCAAGTCAAGTCTCCCCTGTAAACCCCAGACCAACGCATTGGCCTTTAAGGCTTCTGTGCTGCTCCACATGAGGCAGAGAGGGTGACTCTGAGTTAAGGAATGAACTGACCAAGGTCCCAGAGCTCCAGTCAAGACCGTAGATTTGTCTCAGGCCTTGGTCAGAAGCTAAAGCTCTCACCAGCTTGGGAACCAGATTTTTGTCTTGTGAGGTATCCACCCCATAGTTACCATCACTCAACAGTAGTGAATATCAAGTGTTTTGGACTGCACTACTCTTAATTGGCCACAAAAAAGACTGAATCTTCTCCACAAATAGAAATCTAGCACTCCCAGAAACCTGTTGCAGTGTTTAATCTCCCTTCACCCCTCACCATACTTTCATAAAATCCTTCCTTCTGTTTACGCTAAATCTGGCATGCTGCCATCTAAAATAACCATATTTTTTCTGGCTAAGGCCAAGGTGAACATAGCTAACCACACCAGAATCCTAGCTAGGAGTGTTGGATGGAGATTGGGAGCAGTGATCCCTTTTCAACAATTTAAGGTAATATGTTCATGATAGTTGTTAGGACTAAGATGAAGATGAAAGTAGGAAAGCAAGACAATGAGATGTAAAGAGAAGATAGTCAAAAAATGCACTGCGCCGCCTCCGCCACTCCAGGCTCACTTCCTTCTACCCCTCCCCCATGGCAGACCTTAGGCCTCAAGACTGGCCAGATGCGCAGCTGAGCCTAGGTCAGCCATTTCATCCTGTGGGGTCTCTGTTTTACTTTCTTGACCTTTAATGAATACTACTTCTGTGGCCAGCAGCCAGGGGACTTAAGGAATCTGATGTTCAGGGCAGATACTGTGCTGCATGTCAAATGGGGACTTAGTTTAGATAGAAGCTAGGAGCCTTGGAAGTGGGTGAGAACAGAGAAGAACCAGGAGAGCAAGACGACAGGAGAGATCCCTGGGAGCCACTAACATTTAGGGGAGGATTGAGGAAGAAAAACCTGTGAAGTATTGTGATTAATAGGCAGAGGTAACTGAGGACAGGCCAAGTTGTGTTACACGGACTGATGAGACTGTGAGAGTGGCTGAGATGAATGAACAGGATTTGGAAATGTAGGTTCACTGGTGGTCTTCTTGGGGGCAGGGGCTGACAGGGAGGAGGCAAGAATGGGAGGTGAAGAAATAGAGACTGCAGTGCTGGGGCTGTCTCCACTTCAACCAAAGCAAGGTCCACCTTTATCTCTTACATATTAGGCCTCTGAATAGGATTTCATTTGAACAAAGGAACCTGCTACTTTAAAAAGAAATCACCAAACAACTGATATACAAAAGGAAGCTCTATGAAAACATAAAGCCAGGTAAACTGGAGAACATATTTGTTATATCTGTTTTCTAGATTTGGGCTGGAAGTGACCCAGAGGGGTAAATTAATACTCAGTGAGGGGAAGACACTTCAAAGCAGTAAGTAGCAATCCTAAAACCCACTAAAAAATTCCAAGCCTCAAAAGCCACCCAGAAATCAGAAATATGGAATATGTACAATCTAAGCCAGCTGGTTGCCAAAGAAATAGAGTTTTCACACAGTGGGATTGTTGGGTCCTTTAGGCCTGCCCTGGGCTCTTCTCTCAGACTGCAGCCCCAGAGACTTCTCGTTTGAAAGGCCAGGAGAAGAGGGTGTGGCGGCGAGATAAAGGAGAAAAAGGTTTGAGAACTCTTGACTAAATGCTAGGCATACTTTATTTTTAATCTCACAACACCCACTGAAGTAGGTATTCTTGTTCGTTTACAGACCAGGAAATTGGAAAGATAAGTGACTTGCCAAAGACATCCAAGCAGGAAGTGGCTAAACTGGGATTCTGACCAATAGCTTTAGCTTTTCCCCTTGAACCTATAGGGTACTTTGGGTTGTAGATGAGGAGCAAGTCTCAGATGCCCCTCATCTGGATGTTTCCAAGCTGGCAGTGGTCTTCTATAGCTGGCAGAGGTTCTGTCAATAGGGCACTGGGACTGACACTGACAACTTTTGGGCAGAGTCACTGAAGTGCAGGCCCTAAGTGTGTCTCAATCACCGCCCATAAGCACCCTAAAGAACTATGAATGAGGGGCCGGCCCTGTGGCGCAGCAGTTAAGTGCCCATGTTCCACTTCGGCGGCTCGGGGTTTGCTGGTTCGGATCCCGGGTGTGGACATGGCACCACTTGGCACGCCATGCTGTGGTAGGCCTCCCACATATAAAGTGGAGGAAGACGGGCACGGATGGTGGCTCAGGGCCAGTCTTCCTCAGCAAAAAGAGGAAGATTGGTGGCAGATGTTAGCTCAGGGCTAATCTTCCTCAAAAAAACCCCGAAAAACAAAAAACAATGAGTCCTTGTGAATGAGGGTGTGTGTGTGTGTGTGTGATATCTGTGAGACAGGGTGTCAGGTGTGACAGTTTGAGTACTGTATGTATGTCGTGAGTTGAGGACACATATATGTGGTTGGGAGACAAACCTTGCTCCTTTGAGGATAATTTTGTTTTTTTGGAGAGGGCTAGAAATCATTTAGAACTGTCTGGGGACAAACTGTTCTTGGAGTTAGGGAAGTAGGGAGGGTGGAGCAAGAGGGAAGACTGTTCTTCTCCAGAAGCCGCAACCTGGATCATGGTACCCTAGTATGTATAGAGACAGAACATGGGGGAATGGACAGAGCTCAGGCTTTGGGCCCAGACAGACTTGCCATGGCTACTTGACTTGGGCAAATCACTCTACTGCACAGCCTCAGTTTGCTCAACTACAAATATGAAAATAATCCCTAAATCACACAAAAGAGGCCTCCTGGGAATCAGAACCTGGCTTCCCAATGTGACTTCTCCAAGGAAGCCCTCACCCAGATCCATTCACTGTTTTATCCTCACTGATAGTGTAGGGAAGAGGTGGGGTGGATGCAACCTTCAGTGCAGCTGGAGGGCCAATGTTGCCAAATCAAATACTCACTTTCCCAAAAAGTCTGGGACTGGCTGTGCCGTGCAGTCAGAATACTGAGTCAGAAACAATCACAGGACCCCTTCCAAGGGACCTCTTGTGCCTGACAGCTGTGGGCACTGGGGGCTCAGAGGTGAAATTAGATAGAATGGCTGTCCTCAAGGAGCTCAGTCTAGGGGGTGTTCAGGAGGGGATTTCCACGAGGATGGTGCACTCAGGAGGGTATGAAGTGTCAGCAAAGTCTGGTTCTTTGGGAGTAACTATTCTAGTTGCAAATGCTCCTTAAGTGACTTCATCCACAGTATACTGCTGTCCAGGCTTACAGTCAAATGCTTAGGCCGTTGGCCTCCACATAACAGGGCAAGGATTGCTATGTTATCCTCTTGTATAAGACAGGAGACTGATCCACAGATAAGAAGAGACTAAGTGGGAACCATTGGAACTCAACTTCTAGACTAATATTCTTTCTGCTCTACACTCTGCCTCATCTCACATTCACAGTATCTGTTATGCCTTCATCTAGGGCAGAACCTCTTGGGAAATAGAGCAGGAATCTGAGATGGGGCTCCAGACAGGGAATCTCTGTTCTAATGAACAGTTTGAGAATGAACCTCAACCTCCATGGCCCTGCCAGGTGCTGGGCCTCCCACACAATCCTCATCTGGCCTTTTCCCCTCCAGACCCTGGCCTTCAGTGATTCCATCAACCAAGCTACTACCCAAATTCTAGTCCCGACTCTACCTGGGATGATCTGCTGCCCTTCCCAAATCAGTATTTCTTCCCATC